GATTTTCGCGGAGAGGAGAATTACTTGTAGGCTCGCCCTACAGAGGACTTCAGGAATTACATGTAGGCTAACCTAGGCCTATTGAAGACTGCAGGAATTGATTAAACTGAATTGGAAAGCACCTTGCGTCACTGCAGCACAGATGAGGAATCAGATAGTAGATAGGCTAGTAGATTTTAAATTTTTCGTGTGCTTTACATTTGGTTGAACGCACACCTCTCGTTAACGTGTTTTTGAATTGCTAGGTGTTTGGATCTATCATCATGTATACACAATATGTACATGATGTGTACTCTATAGTATGTCTTCTTATAATATAAACGACCGTTTTTGAACCACTGTACGTGCAAGCTCACACGGTTTTTGTGTGGGTTTTCCCCGAGATATCCTTGTTTTAGTCCTGGTACTTTGATGTACGCATTCAGTTTTAGTTTTACACTTTCGTCCGCTTTCGAAATATGCGCAGGGAGTTGAACGCTTGGTACACATTGTTCATTTGATTTAGGTATTTTGTCATGACATCAGTGGACCGGTCCTTAAATAAATCCAGATTTCTTCCGGTTCTTGGACACAGCTTATTTTATTGATTTTGCATCGTTATTTGTTAGCTACGTCTATATAGCTGCCCAAACCTCTATGCATACATTCCAGACCCTACAAAATTTAGACGCTCTGAACTCTGAAAATGTTTTTTAGCCTTCAAAATAACCCAATCCTTCGAACCCAACTAGTGTAACCTAAAATAATGAATTCTCCCTTAGTCACGTGAGTACACGCGGAATCGAGGCACATGCGTAGTCGTCGCCATTGTTGGACCGAGAGAAGGGAAAGTTTCATTTATGTGAATGTTTTCTGTTATTTCCAAACTTTGTGCTGTGCCCACAAATTTCTGATCTGTGTGGATTACAATTTCAATATTTCGTATCCATAGACAGTGAACGAACACTTTTGTGGTTTCGAAAGGATTATAAATTCAGTGGGATGTCTGCAAATGTTGATCAGGTAAAGTAAGGAACACGTCGTTCCTGTCTCAGTTCCGCATTGTGGCACTCTGTCTCTGTCTCAGAATGTCGGTCACCATACAATTATTCCTTTGTGAATCAACAGATATATTTTCTTTATTGACAGTATGTTACATGTATGCGTCACCTTTAAACGTCTCAGAAATTTACTTTTTTTTTTTACCCAAACAGCGTGCTCAGAAGAAACTAATCACTCCATAACATTCATTTCTCAGTTGATTACCCCATTTTCTTTCTCTTTTCATGTTACGTCCGGATCAGAGGTCAAAGGGACAGCCTAATCAAGGTAAACATTGTTGTTATTGACTTTTCCATGTGTATACTTTGATGTGTGTGAAACTTACTGAAGGAGAAATGGCTTGTTATGTTATTGTTTACTTCAGCACCTCTGGCCTCTTTCTATGCACTTTCCTGCAGCCTACTACTATCGATTACTAGATCTAGATCTAGATCTAGAATCTAGATCTAGATATAGATCTAGAGCTAGGCCTCTACATCAGTCACTCTTTCTAATCAGACTAATCTTCGCTCCTTGGCCTTGGTCTGTTGATCTACTCATCACTGTTGTGTATAGAGGCCTACTGAACTGTAGGAAGATCTACTCATCAACTTCCTTCAGCCCTCGCCTGTACTGTCAGCAGTCGGTTTGTTGATCGAACTCCTACAAGAAATACAATCAACTTTAGACTTTAGATATTAATCGATCTGTAGGCCTAGATCTAGAATAGATCTAGAATCTAGATCTAGATCTAGGGCGATTTAGTAGTTTCGTTCGTTAAAGTCAAGAGTAGGGGGGTTTCAGGGGGGCACCTAAAAAAGCATGGAGGTGGGGGGGGGGGGTCAGGGGGGCATGCCCCCCTGAATTTTATCCTAATTTGATGTTTTGCAGTTACTAAGTTAGGTTGCATCCCTGCGCTTTGTGTAGCCTAATTCAAATAGTATTTGGTCTTCAAGACTTCTGGATGTAAACAAATGTATCATGGACTTTAACGAACGGAACTACAAGATCACCAGATCTAGATCTAGATTCCTAGAGAGACTAGATTCTAGATTCTAGATCAGAGTTACTGTTTACCGCAGTTTTGTTTGTCCCATTCACATGAATGCTCAATATAAAAGTTGGACACATGAAGCTGCAGCGAGCTCTGTAATTGGCCCAATTATAGATGACATGAAATTTCTGCCATCTATTTTTGTCATCTTCTCGTCTTCTGGGGCTTCCCTCGCCATTTGACTAGATTCTAGATCTCATCGTGGTGGGCCCAGCTTAGGCTTAGTGCTCGATGGGCCACGTCACTAGGTTTCTTCGCCGACTGCTTGGGCTGTGTGCACAGGCTTTTGTGTGTGTGCACACGCTTTGTGTGTGTACAACTTTGGAAGAGAAGGTAAATTTATGGAACGAGAATTCCTGAGATGAAAGATGACATAAGTTATAATTTAAAAAAACAACAACAAACACGGGGACATCTAGAATCTAGATTAGTCAACAGTTACTGACGATGGAAACCCCGGAAGACGACAAAAATAGATGGCGGAAATACGTCATCTGGATCTAGATCTATATATTTGATCCAATCACAGAGGTGTGCTAGGTGCTCGCTGCAGCTTCATGTGTCGTGTTGGCCACCGTTTGTTAGTTTAGTTAGTAGGCCTCTATAGTTGGCTTGGCCGGACTTAACTTTGGTGCACCCACTGCGTTTACACAACTACACAGACTACAGAGCTCAGATTTCCTTCTTCAAGTTCAAGGTCTTGAATTGTTGATGAACTAACTAGATGTCGCCTAGACCCTACATCGACAATACACATGAGAGGAGCCTAGTCTTTGCTTTAGTTTTGTTTTGACATTCTTTGGCCCAAGAGTGCTGGATATTGATACTGACATGAATACTTGGTATCGTTGTTTTATCGGAAAGAGGGAGAGATGTGCTGCTATTCTTCAATACAAAATGAGCAGTTGAGTAATATTTCACTTGCTTTTAATGAGGGGTGTTTCAAGGGGGCTTACCCCCCTGACCTGATAAAAATGTTGTCAAGTTTGATGTTTTTCAATTAGTTTTGCTCTCGCCGCACATCAAACATCGGCACGTGTGTCGAAAAGTAATCGTTTAGAACCAGTAGAAGAGTCTAATCATCGATGGAGCCAAAACCATAGCTGCCACTTTCCCGCTAAATAGCGGAAACTCCGCTGCATCTAGCGTTTCCCTCAACTTTCCTCCTTCCTCCGCTGGACCGCTCTTGGTCGCAAATTTCATACTTTTTTTTTTCCACGCGGAAAACACCGAACCGGGGGAGAGACGAAAACGCGATTCGCGCATGTCCGCCGTAGCTTTCTACTTCCGTTCTTCTAGGCCCAGCGCTAGTTTCACATTGTTTATTGTTGTGGAGCAACACAGTGTCCATCGGGCATCGGGACGTTAGCGCGCCGAGTTGTCATTGAAATTGGCGGAAATTCGAGAGAAATTGATTCAGAATGCAAAAATAAAAGGAGCTGGAATGAGAAAGAAGCAGCCAGTGTGCGACTTGAAAAGTTCATTAGAAAATTGAACTAGATCTAGATCTAGCCGTTTTTTGCGAAAGAAATCGCGGCACTCCTGTGCCTGTGCAATTGCGGTCCCGTTTGTTTACATGACGGCTATTGTGGCTGCTGCGGAAGTGAATCTAGATCTAGAAAATCTATCTCTAGATTCTAGATAATCTAGATCTACACATGTTTAGATATATGATATCTAGATTAGATAACCTAGGCTATAATTTTAATTCAGTTTATCTCTAAATAAGAAACACACTGCAGGGGCACTAAGTGCAAACGGGATCGCAATTGTACAGGAGTGCCTGCATCCTTGATCCGATACTGCTCTACGTCTATGTACACGTTTAAAGTGAAAGAAATCTTTTTATGAGACACCAGCTGGCAAAAAACACTAGATTTTTAGTCACCAAGTCCAAACTGTGTCAAATTGACTCGAATGCTTGTTAGTCAACTTACTGCCTTTATGGGTTT